GTTCTAGTGAAAGAACAGGGAATAGCGTAGTCCCGCCTTTGATACCGTCAACAGGTGAACAAACTTCGCATCCTGTAAGGCCAGAGCCAACACCCTCAGTACTTGGGACTGGGTCAACTGTGATAAGACCTTATAGTCAACCAGTGTTGGAATATATTGGGCCTCAAACGTCGAATCCTCAAATACTGTTGGGAGGAAGTTCGACTTCTAGACAGTTTGCTCCTCCCGGGTTTTCACAGTCACCAAGAAACCCCCCATATGGGATGCCCGCAACTGTAATGCAAGGGCTTCAAAATGCGCCCCCATATTCTCAGATTATGCAATGGCTTCGCCATTACAAGGATCAGGGCCTAGCGTGAACGTTGGTCGAAATCCTCAAGGTTCGAGCCTGGGATATTCGACACAGGGTCCTAACTTGACCAATACCTTTGTTGCATGCTTAAGACAGCTAATGGATGAAAGCAATTTGCAAATGGTCCAGACTCTGTCCCAAACCATGGGGGAAATCTTTCAAGCATTGATCCAAACACAACCCACACTAATCAACAATTAGCAATACAGTTGACACGGTTGGCTGAATTCATGGGGGTACCTCCTCTAGCCAAGAATCAAGCCCTGGTAGCAAACATTCCACGACAGGACTTAGGACATCAACCAGCAGTGGAAATCCAGGAAAGGATGGGTCAGCCCATAGACGAACTACCTAGGGTCGAACCGTTGAGAGAGCAGGTTCTTGTTCCAGGGGAAAGGGACCCAGAGGTAATTATGGTGAATCGAAACCAGGACGCAGATAATGTCGTCCAGCAGGTTCGACGCAATAATGTGGCTGTCGACAATAATTTAGCAGCCATGGTTGAAAGAATTATGGCTCAAAATGGGTTGAACACTGGTTTCACCCGGCCAAACTACACCTCTCCAAAAGTAGATTATATCCTTCAGGCGGAGTTTCCCGTAGAAAGAAAGTGCCCAAATTTACTAAGTTCTCAAGAGATACGACGGAATCCACTGTCGAACATGTAGCTCGTTATCTAATCGAGGCTAGAGAGATAGCAAATGATGAGAGCCTTAGAATAAAATACTTCCCAAGTTCTCTCACTAAAAATGTCTTCACTTGGTTCACAACACTACCCCGCAACACGGTGTGCAATTGGACCCAGTTAGAGCGTTTATTCCATGAATAGTTCTAAGAAATAACGCTGCAAATACAATTGAGAAATGCACGCACTATTATCAGAAAGCCGAGTCCGTTAAAAGCTCTTATTCTTGTGTTAATTAAGAATCTTTCTAAAAGTGTGTTGTATTATTTTTGAACACCTCTGATATTTATCACGTGTTATTGTAAGTTATTCTTTCTCTAAACTATTTGTTTAGGTATAAGTCTCTTGTTGTAGGCTTGAGCAACGTGAAGTCTTAGACACGAGCTCTAAGTAAAGAAAAATCTTAATTAGAAGTTGGCTAAGTAAGGAAAAGTCTTAGACACGAGCTCTAAGCAGAGGAAAGTCGTTGACACAAGTTCTAAGTAAGCTAAAGTCTTAGACACGAGCTTTAAGCAAGGTAAAGTCTTAGGCAGGTGGTCTAAGCAAGATAAGTCTCGGTCAAGAGCTGATTGAGCAGAGGGAAGTCTTAGACACGAGCTCTAAGTAAGGGAAGTCTTTAACAAGTAATCTGAGCAAAAAGAAAAGTCTTATACAAGTGTGTATAAGCAAGTGTAATCTGGTTGATTATAGTGGAAAATCTCTTGCTTGACAAGAGGACTGGAGTACTCTCAGTGAAAAGAGGAACCAGGATAACTATAGTGTGTTCTTTGCTATATTTACTTTACTTATGTTTCTATTTCAGCTGCACCCTATCAGATTCTGAATTCAGCTTTTAGAATTTGAACTCTGGTTCATAAGTAAATTTAATTTTTGCAAAACACAATTCAACCTTCCTCCCCCTTTTCTTGTGTATTTTTGTCACATTCATATTGCACATATAGTTTTTAATTTAACAATTCCACTAATTAATGTACCTAACTCTCTCTCTCTCTCTCTCTCTCTCTCTCTCTCTCTCTCTCTCTCTCTCTCTCTCTCTCTCTCTCTCTCTCTCTCTCTCTCTCTCTCTCTCTCTCTCTCTCTCTCTCTCTCTCTCTCAATATTAACTATTAAAATACTTGTGCTCCGCACGAGTAAATTTATTTAATACGATATATATTTCATTTAAACATATATGTAAATTTAAAATGAATTTTTTAATTATAAAATAAATAATGATAATATAAATTCAATTGTATTAAATAATCATACGAAAAGGGGAAAAACTCATCAAATGGAGAGAGAAAAATTGACATTTGAAAATAAGAATTTTGTGTATCAAATAAAGATAATTATTAATTAAAATAAAATAGGTATATTACTGATAGTGGTCTGCGAGAAAAAGAGAAATTTTGACATTTGAAAATAAGAATTTTGTGTCTCAAATAAAAATAATCGTTAATTAAAATAAAATAGATATGTCGTTGATAGTGCCCCGTGAAAAAAAGATAAATTTTGACATATGGAAATAATAATTTTGTTCCTCAAATAAAAATAATTATTAATTAAAATAAAATAGATATTTTACTGATATTGACTCGTAAGAAAGAAATTTTGACATTTAAAATAAGAATTTTTTATTTCAAATAAAGATGATTGTTAATTAAAATAAAATAAGTATTTGTTGATAGTAACCTATGAAAACAAGAGAAATTTTAACATTTAAAAATAAAAATTTTGTATTTTAAATAATAAAAATTATTAACTAAAATAGAATAGATACTTTTTTTTATTAGTGATCTATTAGATGGATAGTTAATTGTGTGTATTACTATTAAGTATTATCTAATTTCGTAAAATAAATTCTTAATTTTATTAAAACTTAAAAATAGATTAATTAATATTTTTAATAATATTAATTAAATAAAATTAATTAAATTTATCTTAAAAACAAAAGTAAATGTCAATATTGTATACATTTATACACCGATAAATATTTAATATGTTAATCATATATTATAATTAAACATTTTAATATATTGAAAATAATTAAGAAATGATAAAATAATTAGTTAAAAAAGATAAAATAATAAAATGAAAAGAAAAAGAATAATGAGATGATGAGTGAAAGAGTGAGAAGTGAAGGAAAAGGTGAAAGTTAAAAAATTATCAAATAAAAACTTGACACTTGGTAACATTTGGTTGAAGTAAGATGAATTGATTATGAGATTAAGTTTTTATTATTTTAAATCTTTTACAAGTGTAAAAAAATTTAAAATAAAAAATATTATTGATAGTTTGTATGCATGTTATTTTAATAGATAGATAGTTGAAAGATTATAACTAAAGTTGTATGTTGCTTAGCATGTACTTCTTTCTCTTTCACTACTTCCATTTCATCACATTCATACCACACTAAATAGAAACACAATCATTGCTTCCTTTCTTGCCTCTTTCTTATCTCTCATTCTATTTTTTGAAAGAAAATAAATTAAATATTATAAATAAAAAACAAAGACAAGATTAAAGAAAAACTAAAAAACAAGTTTATTTTTATTAAAAACTTTATTGTTTAACTTTTACTTTTAATAATTTTATTTGTTTTATTTTATTATTGATGAATTTTATTTATTTTATATTAGTGTCTACTGTAAAATATTTATTATTTTAATTTAGAATAGAAGAATATTAATTCAAAATTTTGAATCAAGAAGTTCAAAATTGAAAAAAAAATTAAATCTTTAGTTGAATTATTGGGACTTTTAGATAAATCTATTAAAAGAAACAAAAAAATTGAAAACTTAGACATATTATTTATTGAATAAATAAGTTAACAATAATGTACAAATGAAGAAGATATGTCCGAAAATAAAAATGTAGATTTAGTAGAAAATTTAATAATATATATGAAATTAAAAACTTAGACAACGATGAAAATAAAATAAAAAATTTATTAGTAGAAGAATTTGATAGTATAGGTACCGTTAAAAATATATGTAATCCAAATCAGTGGATAAATATTAATACAAATTTGAAAATTTTATTAGTAGAAAAAAGGTCTCCTTAAATTATCGATATAAATTTTCTGAATGATAAATCCTTAAAATATTTTTCTTCTTTATTTTATATTAAAAATTATCAAATAAATAAAAAACGTGAAAGAAGATAGTTAATATAATAAATAAAATCAATTATAATTTAATAAATACTTTTATATCTAAAAAAAATTATAAAATAAAATTTTAAATAAAAAATACTATTAACTTACCTCAATATGTATTAGGTTGGCCTTGTCTATATTTCTCTCTACTCTCCTCCATCCAAGTTTTTTCATTCCATTCCCTTAAACTTGCAAGTTTGAAGGAAAGAAAATAAAAGCTTTGGATAAAAAAATAATAGAATTTTCAAAAGTCGCAAATAAACAACTAGGATAGAACTACAATAAAGATAGAATTTCCAACGCACCTTCTAACACTCATGCCTAAATGAGCTTGAAGGTGTGCACAATACAAAAATCCAACAAAATATTTAGGATAAGTTGTGATAGCATATTAGAAGAATAGATCAAATCAAATTTAATCTTACAAAATTAACTTGTAAGATAAAATCACAGTAAGCTTTCTTAAAACTACATAGGCTATAATAAAACAATTCAAATAATCGAATTATACGGTTAAAGGCAAACCACAATAAAAGTGAAATTTCCAACAACAAATTTATCTTCAAAACTTGTATCAATTTTTCTATATTTCTTAAAATATCATTCATGCATAACTATAGACTTAACTTTTAAGAATCTATAGCACATTCAAGGACTACATCATCTAAATGATATTGATAGTCAAGATGCATGAGCTAGATATTGAGCTCCTAACATCCTCAACATTGCAATTTTCAAATTTTTGCGAAGTGAAATCGTAGTCATACCTTTAGATGAACACGCAACTTCAATCTCATAATCACCATTTTGATCCACTATCAATTGCGTCAAAGGGAGATCTTCTCTTCTCTACCCGTGCCTCTAGGAATGTATACGTTATAATAGTAATTCATCATGCACTCAATAGATTTGGATGGAAAGTACTCCGTGGCGAGCTTCCAAAATTTTGTGTCATTTGATAATAAATTCAAGTTTACTAGAGATTCAAATTTCTTCTCATCTTCCATTGTCCATGATTTTGAAACATCTTTCTTGTTATCAAACTTCCAACTTGTGATAGTCCCATTAACCTTTGATTTTAAGCACTCTCTAGCTTCACTGAGTTTTTTAACACGATCAATTGATTCAAAGTTCTCGCCTGAGCTTATATCGGACCTATCTTTTCCAATACTTTTAGCATTATTTCTAGAAAAAGAAGGCATTGGCCAAATTTGGGTCCCTAACCACTTCAAACAATCATCACTACTATACATATTGGTCGGGGCCTCCCATTTAGGAACTTCAGCTTGAAACCTAGGTCCAATGGGAATAAATGGTCTTGGAAGATGGTTAGCCCTAGAAGGTAAAAATTTCTTCCGAGAGTCAGCGAAATCCATGTCTTCTTCTTTTAATTTCTCTTTGATTGATGCCGCGATACCATCAGAATAACTATTAACCATTAAATCTCCAGCATGAATATAAAAGCTCTCTTCGTTCATAAGATAACTTGGCCGCATCGCGGAATCTTCATCGTCACTTAGGTGAGAATAGTCTTGTCTAGAAAGAGGACAAAATTCTACCCGGTCATTTTGAGCATGGGAAGATGATTTTCGTTTTTGAGCTTTGGCATTATCAATATCATATTTCTTTTTAGTGACAAGTTCAGAACTAGTAACAAATGTACCACCATTCATGTATCGCATAAATTTCCTCTTCTGAAATAAAAAATAAAATAAAAAAGTTCTTTCACTCTATTACTCTATTACGCGTAACAACTATTAACGAACCTATACACTATCTTAGATAGTTATATCAAGTTTTGTTTGAGTCTGTATGATAAAGTTATCAAAAGTTAATCCTTAAGTTAAATTTCATCTCGATTGCATTTCAACAAAATTATAAGTAATTATTTATAAGCATGAAAACCATATAAAGTGGAAAAATTGATCTTGAGTAAAAAGAATCTAATAAAATCTGCAGGGAAAACACTATTATTTATATTAATAAAATAGAGTTTAGGGCTAAACCTTAGTGCAATCTTATTGATATAAGAAATTTGTTCATCTCTCCATATTGTATCCGCACACTAGTCAATACACATATTTTAGATAGTTTGAATATAGATAATCCTAATCTTTTTTTTTTTTCAGGATTTTTTACAAAATCTCTCGGGACACTATATCATACGCCGTATCTAAATCTAGAAGAATTACCTGTAAGTCATGTTGATCCGTCCAATACTACTCCATCACATGTTGTAGTAAATTAATCACTTCCATGATCGATAGCCTTCAATCTACATCTTTCAAATGAAAAACACATTGTCCAACATTCAAATTTTTCAATTAATAGTCTTCATATTTTCCATGATACTTTCATACATATCTTAGATAGTCCAACCCCTATTTCTCCAGGACTTTACACAAAATCTCTCTGGACAATCTATCATACGCCTTATCCAAATCATAAATAATAAGTGCAAGTCATGTTAATCCATCCGATATTACTTCATCATATGTTGTAGTAAATAAATCACTTACATGATCAATAGACTTCGATCTACATCTTTCATATGAAAAACAAATTGTCCAACATTTAAATTTTTCAACTAATAGCCTTCATACTTTCTATGATACTCTCTCATATATATCTTGGATAACTCGAATATAGACAATCCTAACTAATTTCTTCTCTAGGACTTTTAACGAAATTTATTTTGACACTCTATCATATGTCTTATCCAAGTTAAGGAAAAGTAAGTGTAATTATTTTGACACTCTATCACATTGCCTAATATTCTGATTTTGACACTATTACATCGACACTCTATCATATATTTTATCCAAGTCAAGGAAAAGTAACTATAATTATTTTAACCCCTTCCTCTCCTTTCTACCCCACATGTCCTCTCTTTTTCTTCTTTCAATCTACCTTTTTCCTTTATTTATACTTATACCTTCAAGTTCTATTAAGGACCATTCTTTTATCCAAATCATTAAATCTCAAGACATTTCTTAATAACTTCTCTGATAGTCTTTCTAGGTCTTCCTTTTTCTCTAATTATTTATCTTCTCTTCATCTGGTCTACCCTCCTTACTAAAGAATCTACCAGTCTTCTATCTACATGCCCAAACCACCTAAGTCTATTTTCTCACCATCTTCTCCACAATAGGTGTTACTCCGACACTCTAATATTTTCATTTCTAATTTTATTATATCGGGCTTACCACACATCTACCGCAACATCTTCATCTTTACTACACTTACTTAATTTTTGTGTTTATTCTTAACAACTCAACATTCTCTCTCGTACAAAAGCGTTGGTCTTGCTGCAATCCGATAATACTTTCCTTTAAACTGGAGTGGTACATTTGCGTCACATAAAACACCTGATGCTCTATCTCCATGTGTTTATAAAGTTCGCCCCCAAATTTCCAACCTCTCATTTAAATCCTCCTTCGACTCTCCAAGAAGAACTATAGCATCTGCAAAAAGCATGCATCTTAGTGCAAGTTCTTGGATGTGTTCCGCGAGTGCATCTAAAATTAAGGTAAAAAGATAAGAGCTTAAGGTTAAACCTTGATGCAAACCAATTGTAATGGGAAAATCGTTTGTCTTTCCCCCTATGTCCTCACTAGTTGATACACCTTTATATAACTCGAAAATAAGCAATCATAACCCATTTCTTCTTTAGGGCTTTCCACAAAATATGTTGTAGAAATATGTTTTTTTCCTTAACCAAGACTTTGCCTTCTTCGTCTTTAACACACTTCACTCGATACAAATCTCTAGTCTCTTCCCTTTACAAGCCTTTATATAGACTTTTCTCCCTCCTTGGTTCATAGAAATTGGTATAATCTCTCAAAAGTTTGGGTTCTTACTTCACTCACTGTCTTCTTAGTCTCATTCTTAACTTTCTTATATTTTTCTCATATTTCGACATATTTACACCTAAACCAATCAGTTTTTTACTTTAACTTTACCATGGACATTTTCATTCCGCCATCATGATTCTTTATCATAGGTCCAAAACCTCTTGATTCACCCAATGTCTCTTTAGTCACTCTTCTAATCTCTTTGGTCATCTTATGTCACATATCATTTGCAGTTTATTGTGGTTGTCCAAACCCTCTCTCCAAGATCTTGTATTGAAAAGATTCCTTATTTTTCACCATTCAAATTCCACCACTCGGTCCGTCGCACTACCATATGATTTCCTCTCTTTACTCTTTCCTTAATTATTGCATCCATAATAAAGAATGATTCAAATGCATGTATGATAATATTGTAACTTTATTAATATATCTACACTTTAAAAAGTTAAAAGATGTTCTAATCAAATTTAAAGTTTTTAATTTTACAACTTCCATATCCTAGAGGTGTAGGACATAGGGATGGCAAAAAAACTCGGACCTGCACGCACCCGTTCCGAAATTAACAGGAAAAATTATTATAAGTAATTCATATTTATTAATTGTACTATTTTCTTAACCCCTAAGTTTGTTAGAGGGTATTTTAGTATTTTTATCTTATTCTAGTAACCATAGTATTAGCTTATAAATAGGGTAACAATAATTGCAATTTTGTAGTAGTGTGTAACCGTCATTCTCTTAATAGAACATTTCTCTATTCATCATTTATTCTACCTTTTGCACCAACAATTGGTATCTAGAGCTCCGGTTCAGATTCATGGGAAACACGAGAAACACGAGTGGACGTGAGGTCTTGTGTGTTTGATTTTGATTCTTAGATTCGTGTTGAATCTTGAACAAAATCTTATCAGAATTTTAATTATGTGGGTTGCGAAACACTGTGTGAGAAATCTAAGTGTATTGTGCAAGGTAGAAGATGAACGGAAACGGCAACATGAACACCAAACTTCCAGTATTTGACGGTAAAAACTGGAACCGTTGGATGATCCAAATGCGTGTACTGTTTGGTGCTCAAGATGTTCTAGATCTTGTCACTAATGGTTATGTTCCAGTAGCAGCAAATGCAACAGATGAACAGAAAAACGCGCAGAAGGAAGTAAGGAAGAAGGATCAGAAAGCATTGTTCTTCATTCATCAATGTGTGGATGTAAATGTGTTTGAGAAGATTGCAGATTCAACAACAGCAAAGGCTGCATGGGACACACTGGTGAGATGTTATGGTGGTGACGCATCAATGAAGAAGGTAAAGCTTCAGTCCTTGAGAAAGCAATATGAGAATCTCAACATGAAGAATAATGAGAAAGTCTCTGAATACATCTTCAGAATGATTCTGATCACTAATGAGATGAAGGCATGTGGAGAAACTCTTTCTGAAGAAGCAATCATGGAGAAAGTATTGAGATCCATTACCCCTCAACTTGATTACATTGTGGTAGCAATAAAACATTCCAAAGATCTGAGCACCATGAGAATTGAAGAGCTGCAGAGCAGTCTAGAAGCGCAAGAGTTGCGTTTGACTGAGAGAACTTCTGAAAAGGAAGTAGAGCAACAGGCTCTGAAAGCAACTTCTGATAGGAGGTATCAGAAACAGTCAGAAGCCAGGAGAAGATCTGATGGTGGTCAGAAGTCAGAAAGCTCAACCTCTGATAGACAAAAGAATGCTCAGAAGGGAAAAGAGAAGTATGACAAGAAGAAGATCTAATGTTACTGTTGTAAGAAGTTTGGTCACTTTGCTAGAGATTGTTGGTCAAACAATGAGAGAAAATCAGAAGAAGCAAATATAGCCAGAAGTTCTGATGACGAATATGTGCTATTAATGGCCTCTGAATCTGATAATATGGATCTGATAGACTGGTGGTATATGGACACTGGTTGTTCAAATCATCTTACTGGAAACAAGAAATGGCTGGTTGACTTTGACTCTAAAAAGAGAACAAAGATCAGATGTGCTGATGACAAATATCTTAATGTAGAAGGTATGGGAAATGTCAGAGTGATTCTGAACAATGAGAAAACAGCATTGATTCAGAACGTGTGGTATGTACCTGGCATCAGAAGTAATCTGATGAGTGTGGGACAATTAATTGAGAAAGGTTTTTCAGTTACCATGAAGGACAATCTTCTGAAACTGTATGACTGCAATCAAAAGTTGATTATGAAGTCAGAACAGGGAAGGAATAGAACATTCAAGGTGAATGTCAGAACTGCAGACTCAGAATGTCTTAGTGCAACAAGTGCTGAGAAGGAAAGTGAGGTGTGGCACAGAAGATTTGGTCATTTGAATTTCAGAAGCTTAAAACATCTGAATTCAAAGAAGTTGGTACATGGAATTCCTGCAATTAAGAAGGCTGAAAAGTCATGCAAAGTTTGCATGGAAGGAAAACAACCACGACTGCCATTTGCGTCAAAAGCTTCTCCAAGAGCAAAACATGCCTTGGGAGTTGTACATTCTGATGTGTGTGGTCCATTTCCAATAGCATCAATTGGAGGGAATAAATACTTCGTGTTGTTTGTTGATGAATTCACAAGAATGACATGGGTATCCCTTATTAAGTTTAAACATGAGGTGTTTGATGAATTCAAGAAGTTCAGAATGAAGGCTGAGAATCAGAGTGGTCAGAAGTTGAAGATTCTTAGAACTGATGGTGAAGGTGAGTATAACTCCAAAGAGTTCCAGAAGTTCTGTGAGGAGAATGGAATTGAGCATGAGGTTACTGCTCCTTATACCCCTCAACACAATGGTCTTGCTGAAAGAAGAAACCGCACTTTGCTTGATATAGTGAGAAGCATGCTAAAGGAGAAGAAGCTTCCGCAGAAGCTCTGGGGAGAAGCTGTTGCCACTGCAACGTATGTACTCAACAGATGTTCTACGAAGAAGTTGAAGAAAATAGTTCTAATACAGAAGTGGACTGAAGATAAGCAAAGTGTTAGTCATCTGAAGGTGTTTGGTTTTGTTTGCTATAAACATGTTCCAGAAGCCAGAAGACAGAAGCTGGATGATAGAAGCAAAGTGATGATTTTGATAGGGTACCACAGTACAGGTGCATACAAGCTCTATTGTCCAGAAACCAATAAAATTGAATTCAGCAGAGATGTGATTGTGAAGGAATCAGAAGTTTGGAATTGGGATAAGTCTCAATCTGATTCTGATGTTAGAACTTCTGAAGAAAGGTCAGAGTTAAGAATTTCTGAAGTTGGAGTAAATTCTGACGTTGACTCTGATAGTGATTCAGACTTTGGAGAAGACTCAAAAGATGAAGGTGACTTTGATGATCCAGACTCTGATGACAATCCAGATTTTGGTGGCAATTCAGACTCTGGAAACAAGAGTCTGAAGTGGACTGAAGATAAGCAAAGTGTTAGTCATCTGAAGGTGTTTGGTTCTGTTTGCTATAAACATGTTCCAGAAGCTAGAAGACAAAAGCTGGAAATATGCCAGACTCTGAAGATGGTCAAAGCTCTGGAGGAAGTCAATCATCTGAAGCTCAAGACTCTGAACAAGTTCAGAGACCACAAAGAATAAGAAACGTCCCCAGAAGATATGCAGAATTTGACATGCTGCAAGACACTGAAGTAGACTCTGAGGGAGAAGTTATTCAGTGTGCCATGATAGTATACTCTGAACCCATAAGTACAGAAGAGGCTCTTAAGCAGAAGCTCTGGCTGAAGGCCATGAAAGAAGAACTTGATGCTATAGAGAGAAACAAGACTTGGAAGCTGACAGAACTTCCAAAAGACAAGAAAGCCATCAGCGTCAGATGGGTTTTCAAGCAGAAGTTAAAGCCAGATGGTTCAATTGGCAAACATAAAGCAAGGTTGGTAGCCAGAGGATTTCTACAGAAACCTGGGCTGGATTATTCTGAAGTGTTTGCACCTGTAGCAAGACATGAAACAATCAGAATGGTGATTGCAATAGCTGCTAACAGGAATTGGCCTCTGATGCATTTAGATGTAAAATCTGCATTTCTGAACGGTCCATTAGAAGAAGAAGTTTATGTGTCACAACCTCCTGGATTTGTGAAAAAGAATCAGGAAGGGGTGGTGTACAGATTATACAAAGCTCTATATGGACTGAAACAAGCGCCCAGAGCTTGGGATCAGAAGATTGATTCATTTTTCAAGAAGCAAGGCTTTCAGAAATATGAGATGGAGTACAGTGTCTATGTTCAGCATACTTCTGAAGGAAATATGACTCTAGTATGTTTATATGTTAATGATATACTATTGACTGGAAGTTCTGAACAGGAGATAGCCAAGTTCAAGAAAGTTTTGATGAATGAATTTGAAATGACGGATCTAGGCAAAATGACATACTTTCTAGGGATGCAGTTCAGATGTTCTGAGAAAGGTATCATTTTGCATCAGCTCAAGTATGAATTAGAACTTCTGAAGAGATTTGAACTGAAGAATTGTAAGATTTCTGTCACACCTTCAAATACAAATCAGAAATTGGATTCTGACTCTGATGGAAAGGATGTGGACGCTACAACCTTCAAACAGTTGGTTGGTTCTCTGAGGTATCTGTGCAATACCAGATCTAATATTTGCTATTCTGTTGGGATGGTTAGTAGGTTCACGAGTAAACCTAAGTGGTCCCAATACCAAGCTGCTGTCAGGATTCTGAGGTATATCAAAGGAACTCTGAAGTATGGAGTGTTGTTTCCTTCTGGAAGAAAGGATGAGTCAGAACTTCTGAGTTATTCAGATTCTGATTGGTGTGGAGACAGAGTTGACAGAAGAAGAACCTCTGGATACTTGTTCAAATTTCTGGGAGGTCCCATTTCTTGGTGTTCTAAGAAGCAACCTGTTGTGGCGTTATCAACCTGTGAAGCTGAATACATTGCAGGTGCTCTTACTGCATGCCAAGCTGTGTGGATTCTGAATCTGTTGCAGGATCTGAAGATTAAAATAAACAAACCTCTGAAGTTGATGATTGACAACAAATCTGCAATCAATCTTGCCAGAAACTCAGTGTTGCATGGGAGAAGCAAGCATATTGAGACAAAGTATCATTTTCTAAGACATCAAGTTCAGAATGGAGTGTTAGAAGTTGTACACTGCAGCACTCAGAAACAGTTGGCAGATGTTCTGACGAAAGCTATCAAGACTGATCAATTTCTTAGACTAAGGGATGTAATTGGTGTTACAAGTTTTGATGGAATATGAATTAAGGGATGGTATTAGAAGTAATTCATATTTATTAGTTGTACTATTTTCTTAGCCCCTAAGTTTGTTAGAGGGTATTTTAGTATTTTTATCTTATTCTAGTAACCCTAGTATTAGCTTATAAATAAGGTAACAATCATTGCAATTTTGTAGTAGTGTGTAGCCGTCATTCTCTTAATAGAATATTTCTCTATTCATCATTTATTCTACCTTTTGCACCAACAAAAACCCAATTTAATTGGGTACGAGTGCGGAAAAAACCCAGTTCTTAACTACGGGTGCGGGGAGACACTAAGACCCGCCCGCACCCCCCGCCCCCGAATAATGCATTTTAGTTTAATTCTCTTATTTTACTTATTTTAATATTCATTTGTTAATTATATTTCTAATTAAATTATTAATACTCATTTACTAATTAAATTTTTAATTAAATAAATAATTAATTTATTAAAATAATTAATTGTTATTAGAATTAAAAAGAAATTAATTCTTTTGCGTGTGAGGGCGGGGCGGGTGCGGGTGCACCCATTTTTCACCGAGAACGGGTCTGGCAGTAAATTTTTATGTCCAGTTGAATTTGAGGGCGGAGACGGATGTGTTACATAAATACGGGTGCGGGTATAGTTAAACTCGCCCCCGCTCCACCCTATTATCATTCCTAGTAGGACATTGATTTTCCGACTCATCCGGCCCAAGTATCATAACATTGTTCAATAAGGTGATATATCTCATTGAAACCAATAAAAATATATGTACAACCTCCATAATCGGCTAATCTCCGGATTCCTAATTTGTTTTGGCTTTCGGCATATTTTCATATTTATATTCTAATTCTATGGCAGGACAATTTCTACAACCAGACACATGGTCGAATATGTCGATTTGATCATTTTTTATTACATTTGTGTATAATACCAAAAAAAACAATAAAATAAAAAACTGGAACTCAGAGTTTTGTTGCATACACCAGAATTTTGAAGTCAAAATAATTTAAAACATTTCTTTTATTTATAAAAGATTAAATAAAAAATAGATACTTGAACTGTATGCTAATATTCTCTTATATAAAAAAAACTAATTGTGATCCTTGAAAAGTAAATATGTATACATACCTGGGAACTTTTAGAGCTAGAATTCAACATCATGGAAACTTCGTGCTTTAGATTTTGAAGATTATGATGTGATGACTTTTTATCACAAGGTTTGGATGCTGTCTCTTTTGAACATATCATCATATCTCTCTAAATTACACGTTTTTTGTTTCACTCGGGACACAAGCACTTCAACTACAAGCAATTAAAATTTACAAAGGAAAAAATAAGAGAATATTAAATAAGATGGCACGAATTTTCATCAAGTTTCTATTTATTTACTTTTGGGTTGAATTACAGTTTTGAGGATTAACTATTATCCCTATTTTAAATTCAAATAGTTTTTATTTCTTATACTTTTTATGGAAAATGGATTAGATATTTATTTTTTCATTTTATAATATATATATATATATATATATATATATATATATATATATATATATATATATATATATATATATATATATATTGGAGATCAATTTATTTTAATAATAAGTCTTTTTAACTTATTCAATATCATAGCCTTTAAATTGAATCTAATTTAATGGTTAAATTAACATTTTTATTTATAATCATTCGATTAAATCAAATTTAAAGACTATGATTGTAGAGTAAGTTATAAAAACTTACACTAAGAGTAAATAGATCTTCACTTTTATATATATATATATATATATATATATATATATATATATATATATATATATATATATATATATATATATATATATATATATATATATATATATATATATATATATATATATATATATATATATATATATATATATATATATATATATATATATATATATATATATATATATATATATACACACACACTAGTAACACTACAACTTGATCATTTTTTTTGTAATTTAAGTCTTTTCCTAAAATAAAGTGTACTTTCGACCGGTGTTTTAAAGATTGAATTCAATCGATCGAACCGACAGTTTTGAAAAAGTATTCTTATCAACCATTTATTTTTAATCTAAAGACTAATAATTATTTTTATCATTCTCATATAAAAATAGTATTTTCATTAAATGTCATATACATGAAAACGTATATTATGAAAATGATATCTTTATGTGGTAAGAATGAACCTGAACCATTAAACTTGAAATAAATGGATAAAATTATTTTTCATTTATATTTTCTCTCTCTTCAATTGTTAAAATAAATAAATTAAATTTAAATACTATATTTTAGAGAATTATAATTCTCTATCCTCTCATTCATTTGTTTTAAATCTAATGATTCATTTTTATATTCTTACATAAAAATAATATTGTCATAAAAATTTTGTATTTTAAAAATAAAAAATTCGTTAATTTTAAATGTAAAAATATGAGAAAATATTAAAACTATTTAAATTTAAAATAAAAAACCAATTTTATATTTCATATTAAACAGAAAATCAAATTTGTAATTAAATATAGGCAAAATACTCTTTTTGGTCATGTTGTTCTTTTTGTCTAATTAGCAACGAATTTAACGACCGATTTTTGAATTTTTCTGTCCTTAATTTGACGAAAAAGACTAACATGACACGTTTTAAAGTGTTAAGAGACCAATCTGACACAAAAAATAATTAAAGTATCAATTTAAACCTACGGATATAGTTAAGGAACCAAAAAGAATATTTTGTCTTAAATATATTTCACCCTATTAATTATATAAAAATTCAAACAATAAAATAACATTATTTATCACTTCATTCCATCACATACCAAATATCTAAATATATTTTAAAACTATGTTCGATAAAAATAACGATCGAGGTTGATTGATAAACTAACTTATAGCTTATAATTTATAATCGTAACATATGACTAATGATTTATAGTTTATATCTTATAGTTAATGATTGATGAATAATAGCTAATAAATTAATTGAAATGTTTGGTATAACTAATTTATAAATATAAAATAACATAAAAGATATTTAATAAATAATTATTTTATTTTAAATACAAATAAATTTTAAAAAATAAAAATGAATTTTTATTAAATTAATAAAGATTAAAGTGAAATAAAAAAATAAACTATAAGGTATAAGTTAAAATACTATTTAACTATACCTACACCCGCACTCACACCGGGGCAGAGGCGGATTTAACTATACCCGCACCCGCACTTGTCTTCATGTAACACACTCGTCTCCGTCCCCTTATCCAATCAATGGTAAAAAATATAACACACTCGCCTCCGTTCTCTTATCCAATCAATTGTAAAAATTTACAGTCCATACCCGTCTGCTCTGCCCATTTCGTCTGCCCAGTGAAGAATGGAGAATGGGCGCACCCGCATCCCCAGTGAAGAACGGAAGCACCCGCACCCCCGAAAAGAAATTAGATTTTTTAATTGTAATAAAAATTAATAATTTAATTTAAAAATTAATTATTTTAATAAATTAATTAATTATTTAATTAAAAATTTAATTAGTAAATAAATATTAATTTAATTAATTTAATTATTTTAATTGCAATAAGAGTATTAATAATTTAATTAAAAATATAATTAATAAATATTAATAAATAAATATTAAAATAAGTAAAATAAGAGAATTAAACTAAAATGTATTATTTGGAGGCGGGGCGGGTGAGGATGGGGAGACACCGTTCTAGTGTTTCCCTACCCGCGACTTTCCCCGCACCCGCACCTAATTAAATCAGATTTTCTCCGTTAATTTCAAGATAGACCTAGACGGAAGCGGGAGAATCCGAATTTGTTTGTCATTCCTAATCTTAAATATAAAAATATAAAATTACCACAATTCAAACATACCCTAAATTATAACAAAAAAATCATTAAGATCCAAATCAGATCTCAAAAATAAATATATAAAATTGCAGTTAAGTTCTTCAATATTTGAGAAAGAAAAAGTAACCTAACAACCTAAAGAATATGTAAAATGAAGACAATTGAAAAAATAACATAACCTTGCCCTAAAGAAAGCAGGAGAGGCAGGCCAAACAAGAAGAAAGAAAACGAACTCACCGCATATCAAGAAGGAAGAAGGCTTGAGCGATGATACCGAAAAGAAAGGAAGCACCGTTGCTCCTTCAATCAAAAGACATGGGTTAGGATAAAATTGGTATTTTATAGTAAAATCAATGGGCCTAAAGTGTAAGTCCAATAAAAGAAGCCCAAGAAAATCTTAAGTAAAATTCAAAATTATTAATAATTCATTATCAATATATATACATTCTGATCACAATTATAAATAACAAAAAAAAATAAAAATAGATTTGTTAAATAAATAATGTATTCGATCATTATTATATATTAAATATATTAATTATTTAAAAAATTTATTTTTTTATTATAATAATAATAAAAAGACGTATAAATTTATCAATATTTTATAGATACATAATTGTAAAATTTAATTTTTTAACACATTAATTTTTTTATTTAATTATAATTTTGGCAATCTATTTTAAATATTAGTTAAAAAATTAATTTTTTTTTCTATTTTAAATGCAAATAATTTTTTATTATCTTATATTTTTGTTTTTAAAATTCATAATGTTTCTATTTTTAATAACACTTTACTTAAATATTTTATCTTTAAAATTCTTTAATGTTTTTTTTACTTTCTTTTCATATCTTTGCGATAAAAATTGATTATATATTTATTTTTAGAAATTAAAGACAGTGTATTGTCAGTGTAAACTAATTTTATATCATCATCCAATAGAATTATAACATTTCGTCATATCATACTAGTATTTTAAAATTAATAATGTGATTTGGCAGGATACACGTCTGTGATTGGTTGATAGTGTAAAAATATTTTATATTGTGGGTGCATATACTTTTTTCTATTAGTTTTAATGATGTGTAATTTATATTTTTCTTTTAAATTCTACAAAAAATTTGAAGGTGAGAAAAACACTTAGAAGGGGGAGTTGAATAACGGTTTTAAAACAATATGGAAGATAGAAAAATAACACAGTATTTTTATCCTGGTTCGTTTGAACTCAAACTAATCCAGTCCACCCTACCAAGGTGATTTGTCTTTCTCAACAAGTACTTAATCCACTATATCAAACTTGATTACAGTGTAAACCATTAAGACAATTGTTTTAGTCTTCTCAAGAAATTCTGACCCAGGTCTTCTTAAGGAAATCTTTTACAAAGATAAACTAACAATTTTGTGTTTAAGACATGCTTCTAAAAAGCTATATCACAACAGTGATTTTTACACAAGTTATAGAACGAAAATAAAAGATATTCTAGCTTGAAGAATATTTGTGAGAGCTGGTTGAATATTATGCCAAGAATTTGATTCAAGTTCGTTAACCTTTGAAGTGATGCTAAGACTTGCTTTTATAGTACTTTGAAATCCTTTCTCAAAGACTGTGTAATCTGTGCATTCTGTTCTCTTTGTCTTCTAATGACTTTTCCTTTCTCATAAGAGGAATGTTCTGACAAATCCTTTTTGTCTGAAATCATGTGTCATGCACGAATAGAGAAAGAGCCGTTTAGGATAAGACAAGTAATATACCAACGAATCTTTATTTGAACAGCATCTTCTTTAACAGCTTTGGAACGCCTTGCATCAGAACTTCTGATGATGTCCTTAGTTGTTCAGGTCAAAGTTAACTCAATCAGAGTTTGCAGCAAAGTATTTTAAGCGTGAAATCCTTATCAGAGCATACTTGCTTATCAGAACTTTTGTACTTGCAACGTTGAGTACTTTCAGAGTCTTCTGAAGCTTTACGTATGTTCTTCGCTCAAGTTCTTCTTAGCTTTGCTAAGAGTCATTGTAGCAGATCAGAGTCTTCTGATGTGTTGCTTCTGACGCTTAGAGTTTTTTCGTTCTTAGGTGTTCAGAGGCGTTCTTGCTTCCAGAATAATATTAATTTTGATATCTGAAACAAATAAACACTTGAACAAAAATTAGTGTATATAAATTCTCTATACAAAATTTCATTAATGTTATCATCAAAACAATGAGATATATTGAACATCAATCTGTGTTCTAACAATCTCCCCCTTTTTGATGATGACAAAAATTATGGGAAATTTTGTTTAAATAGAAAAGAAATATTTCCCCCCCTGAGAATATTAGTCTCCCCCTGAAATGAATACTTCAGAAAAGATAAAATACTTTCCTTTCAGCTTCTGTA